TTTATGTATGTGAGTCTGTTGCCTGCATGTAGGTAAGTGCTCCTGTGTTGTGCAGTGTCCTTGGAGGTCAGAAGGCATCAGATCCCTTGGAACTGAAGTTAGCTGCCATGCGGGTGCTGGGAATTGAAGCCAGGTCCTCTGCAAGACCAGCCAGTGCTTTTAGACCTCTGAGCCATCTTTCCAGCCTGAGATATTTTTAAAGAGCTCTGTCTTCTTGTTGCCAGTGTTACAACTTAAGGGAATTAACCAGTAAATTTGGCAAACAATAGGTTTGACTAATTTTTTTTCCCCTTAGAATAGACCAGGTATGCTCGTGATGGAATCAGTTCGCTACTTGTTTCCGAACTGAGAAGACACAGCCTCATTAGAGGCTGCCAGAAGAGGAGCCCTTTAATCCTATTCATTTTCTAGGGCAAGGACTGAAGTGTCTTACACCCTAGCCCATCAGCCAGTCTTTTGTGTTGCCATCAAGTATAGGGTGCCTATTTCCAATTTGCTACATTAATTTCTCTTCTGGCTTATAGCTTCAGAGAAGAGCAGTAACAGTAAGCAAGGCTTAACTGACAGGTTTTGAAACGTGCAAGTTAAACATCTAGACAGGTTAGCAGCTGCATTTAAGAAGCCTTAAGGAGACTAGCGCTTGAATGAATTTCAGCAGTGTTTATAATTGAACAGCTCTGAAATACAAAGAAAAGGTCTACTTTTATTTGCAAGATATTCCCCCACCCACTCCAGCATAAAATGAAGAAATAAGGGTTAGTATTTTTCAATGAAAAACACGTTTGAAGTATTTATTGTTGTGTTTTGTTGTTTTGTTTTGAGATAGGGTCTCCCTGTACCCCTGCTGGTCTGGACCTTGCTATGTAGACCAGGTTGGCCTCTAACTCACAGAAACCCACCTGCCTCTGCGTCTCAAATGCTGGCATTAAAGGTGTGTGCCACCACCCCTGGCTCCTTATTTTCTTTTATTTTCCTGAATTTTATTTAGTCATTCATTCATTCATTTTTGAGACAGAGTCTCATATAGTCCAGGTTGGCGTCAAACTTACTATGTAGTAGAGGATGATCTTGAATCCTGATTCTCTTGTCTCTGTTGCCCACGTGCTGGGATTATAGACATGGGTCATCAAGCCAGGCCCTACTTTATTTTTAATTTAAAAAAATTTATTTTTATTTTTCATGTATGAGTGTTATACCTGCATGTGTGTAACTGTACTTGTGTCATTCAGTGCTCGAGGAGGACAGAAGAGGGTGTTGGATCCCCTGGAACTGGAGTTACAGATAGTTGTTAGATTTTTAAACATTTAAAAAAATCTTTTTGTTTTGTTTTTTCTTTTTCTTTATTTTTTTGAGACAGGGTCTTCCTGTAGCCCCAGCTGGCCTAGAACTCACTGTGTAGAGTAGGCTAGCCTTGATCTCACAGAACTCTGCCTGCCGAGTGCTGGGATTAAAGATGTGGATGAGTTACCATGTCCAGCTATCATTTCATTTTTATAAGACTTTAACTGTATAAAAGCCAGGCATGGTGGCTCACACCTTTAATCCCAGCACTTTGAAGGCAGAGGTAGGTGGATCTCTGAGTTTGAGGACAGCCTGATCTACTCAGTGAGTTCCAGGCCAGCTGGGGCTGTAGGGAGACCCTGTTAGAAAAAAAAAAAAAAGACTTTAGCTGTATAAATATAGAAACTTGTTATAAATAGGTTAACATTTTATAAACAAAGAACGATTTGTAACAAGCTTTTATTTTTCTTACAGTGCGCAAGAGGCGAGTTGAAGGGGACCACCAGTAAGCATTCCAAGGTATAATCTTTGGAAGACTTCAGAAAATCACCAAGGGCTCCTGTTGGTGGCATCATATGTAAAAATTTCCTGGGTAGAAGGGAAAAGACTGGAAACCTTTTTTTAACTATATGTATAATTTTCCTAGTTTAAGGTATTATCTGTTTCAATTTGTAAAATCAGGAATAAGTATTTTATATTTTGAAGCATTCCTACTGAAATTGGTTTTGATTTAGCATAATTGAATGGTTTATAATGAGTTTTAGACAAAAAAAATTTATAATTGAAAAAAGTTTGAGAAGCCATGTATGTAGAAAACTTTGAGCATCTTGAGGACCAATCTTTTTAAATCAAAAGAGGATGTTGCTGACTCAGTTGCTGTTGCCTCTTGTATATGTGGTGAGGTCCATGGAGGCTTTCTTTGTTGCACAACCTAAAGCAGTTTCCTTTTTAAAAATGCACAGATTTAACAAGAGTTTGCTTTTTCCTTATCAAGGAAATAAAATGCCAGAATTTTAACAGCTGACTCAAAATCTGATGTATCTGTATAAGCCAAAGCCGGTCTCCAGGGAGACAAAACAGTTCTCTGTGCAGTGCAGGTTGTTGCGCTGACTGATGGGTCTCAGCTATACTGAGTTGGTTTTTTTGGTTTTCTTTGTAATAGTTCCCAGCTCTGCCCTGTTGCATACCTTGTTTAAAATATAGTTATATCTAAGATTATTACAGGTTTTCATCTTACAACAGGAGTCAAATTTTTGTTAAAGCTAACAGTAAAAAGCTTCAGGGAAGTTGTTTTCTTGCCCACGAAATTCTATCAGCTAATACTCAGTTATTTAGAGTATTTTAAAAAAAAAGAAAGAAAGAAAGCTGTTGTCAAGCACATAATAGGTTGGAGTTCAAGCATGAGAAACTTGCAAAATGGCCATTAAGTGACGAGCACTGCGGGTTAGAAACTGGAGCATGAGTCAGACATGGTGGCACACACTTGTACTCCTAGCCCTTGGAAGGCTGAGACAGGAAGGTTGCCAGGTATTCAAGGCCACATACATAATGAGTTCCAGGCTAGCCTGGGCTACAAGTGAGACCCTGTCTCAAAAATCAAAAAACAAAAAGAAAAGAAAGGAAGGAAGAAACTGCAGTGTGGTAAGAAGCTCTCTATAGTTCCATGTATACAGTGCAGAATTGTATGAACAATATTTAATCCCTACCACATATTGTCCAGCCAATCACAAAAACTGCTATTCTCCAGAAATCCAACTTTAATACATGATTTCTTTAATCTTGTACTTTTTAAATCCATATTGTGTAAAAATAATTTCTGTAGCAAAAGTGGTCTTTATTTCCCAGGTACTAAGAGGGAACACTTGAGCAATGTACTGTGGCAGTAGGGGAGAGTGAGGCTGTGCACTGAAGAGCACTAGAGGATGTGGGCTTCTATCTGTGCCCTGTCGTAGGGCAGCTCCTCTGGGAGTGGCAGAGATTCACAGCCACAGATGATCAAAAGAAGAGTAGCCTAGCTCAGAAGGTCAGGCCTGGCTGTGTCCTTTACAGGAAGGTATGTCCACATAGCAGCAAGGTGGCTTACTGTTGATTTTAAAAAGAAAAAGACCTTTGAAATAGAATTGCAAAAGATTTGCTACTTTGATGTTAGCTAGACAGTTTAGTTTTTACAATTCACTTACTATTTATCAAAGTAGGAACAAGGAGAGTGTTTTGCTTACAGCATTCTAGTTCTGTTCTACAATACATTATATAACTGAAGAAAAGATTCCTTTATAAGTAACTTGAGTGTGAACACTCATCCAATTGAATAGATAAAATCTTTTAGGAATTATAATGGAGAGCAGTGTTTACTTTGATCTTTAAAAATCTGGCACCTCTTAAATTTTTAGTAATTTTCAATATTTTAAAATTGCTCTGAGATTTTTATACTAGAGTAATAAAGATTCTGAAAGTTTTAATTTTTAAGCCAGATTTTTCTAAAACCTTAAGTTGTATAGCTGAATCAGTTTAAACTTAACTAGTTAGCTAAGAGAATATTATTCACATTTTTAAATGGATGTTTTTAAAAGCTTTTAATGCCCATTTTGTAAAATTGAATGTTCATATTGTATTAAAATTACAATTTTTCAGTATGTCTACATGAAATTATATATATTAAAGGTTCAAGCTGGGTGTAGTGGCACAAGCCTTTAATCCCAGCACTTGGGAGGCAGAGGCAGGTGGATCTTTGTGAGTTCAAGGCAGCCTGGGCTACAAAGTGAGTTCTACAGGAAGACCCTGTCTCAAAAAGACCAAAAAAAATTCAATATTAGTGGCTAATAGTAATATGTTGAAAATGGACTTGGTGCTATACACTTGCCACTTAAGCCTACTAAAAGTTTAAAGAATAACTAAAATACATTTTCTAATGGTGCCTGTCATTTAAAAGACCAAATAAACTTCGTGCTGCATATATTAGCAGATTGTTGGCCATTTCAGGCAGTTTTCTTGATCATTAAATGCACATTCTTGCTGAGTAATGTAGCCCACACTCTTGCTTTGTGCAAGAAGAGGTGGCACTCCTAAAAAGTTGCTTGTAAATAGAATTTTGAGAGTTGTTTTCCAGCTGGTAACCCTCTGGTGTGTTTTCCTTTGAAGGAAGGATCCATGCTATAATAAAATTATAAAAGGAAGACTATTTTGATAAATTATTAGTTGTATTCTACACTGTTTAACCCCTGTTGTCACTAAAATAAGATGAAGTTACTAAGTTTCAAAAGTTCCCAGGGTGCTCACTTTTTCACTGTAAGTCAGGAGCCACTGTCCATCCCAGCAGTTGAGGAATCATGGTTTATCTGTAGTCATAGCCATTGCCTCCCTGCAAGTGCTGTACTGTATGGCTGTGCCCCTCAGAACAGCCCAGCTCCAGAGCTGCTTCACACTGAAGACATGGCACCCCAAAGAGCTGAGCACGTGGGCACTTGAGAGCGAGCTCCTGCTGCTGCTGCCAGACATAGGGTGTGACTTCTTGGGTCTGCACATTTTAAAGCTGTTTTCTTCATTTGCTCTTAAAGATCTCTAAGGTTTCTGGATAGTTCTCAGTCTAACACTTGCTTACAGACAAATCAGTTGCCATTAAATTGAGAAAAATACCATCCAAAGGCAAATATTTTACATCATATTGAACTTTTTCTCCGCTATAATTTGATTCCATGAGTCCTTCCCTATAAAATTGAATTATGTAGGGGCTAGAGAGCATCTCACTGGTTAAGAGCACTTGCTGTTCTTGCAGAGGACCTGGGTTTGGTTCCCAGCATCCAAGTCAAGTGGCTCACAACTGCCTATAATTCCAGTTAAACATTTTATAAACTTTAAACTGAACCTTACAATCTGGTCATTTAGAAGGGCCAATGTTAGGGATTAACTAAGGAAAAAAGAGACACTTCTAAGTAAATTATCATCAAACATTGACACATGCATTTTTTTTTTCTGTTTCTACTTTTTGTTATGTTTTTTTTAATTTTTATTTATTTTATTTTTATTTTATCTTATTTTTTGGTCTTTTGAGACAGGGTCTCCCTGTAGCCCCAGCTGTCCTGGAACTGGATATGTAGAACTCACAGAGATCCTCTTGCCTCTGCCGCCCAAGTGCTGCTGGGACTAAAGATGTGCGCCACTACACCTGGCTTTGTTAGGTATTTTAGAAAGCCTTCATTAACATGTGAAGAATTGGGCTTAGGATACCTGTTTTAAGGATACGTAAAAATACCACTAGCCATGTTTTGTTAACTGTAAATGTGTGTAAATTTGACACATTTAGGATACTCCCTCACCTTACAGGTTTTGCTCACTATTTTGCAGACTGTCAATTTGTTTTGATACAGAGCAAATAGTTGCCGTAAAAATTTTCACATTAGTTTGTATATTCAAAGTAAGTTTAAGAACAAATTCTCAGTGCTTTTAAAAAATTTTTAAATTACTAGTATTATCATGTGTGTATATAGTAGGTGTATGTAGGCACACACATGGAGGTTAGAGACAGATAACTTTGTGAGGTTGGTTCTGTCCTACCTTTACATGGTTCTTAGGGATCAAACTTAGGTTGTCAAGCTTGTTCAGCAAATGTCTTTACCCACTGAGTCATCTCAGCAGCCCCACTTTATTTTTCAAGTTAGATTTTTTTGGGGCGGGGGAGGCAGTGTCTTTTTGAGACAGGATCTCCCTATAGCCCCAGCTGGCCTGGAACTCACTATGTAGACCAGGCTGGCCTTGAACTCAGAGAGATCCACCTGCCTCTGCCTCCCAAATGCTGGGATTAAAGGCTTGTGCCACCACACCTGCCTTAAGTTAGATTTTTATATTTATGGTATATAATCCAGAGAGTCTTAGTAAAATTTCACAAGAGTACTAAGCTTCTGAAAGTTTTCTTCCTTTCTCCTTGTTTTCATTCCAGTTAGCTAAACTATGTATACTCTGAATTGAAAAAATATAAATGAAATAAAAGTAACTCCCAGTGCAAAGTTCTTTAAACAGTTCATAATTCAGATGTCTTAACTTCAGTTATGATCAAAAAAGTGCAGCTCAGTTCATGTAGGGTCAAGGCAGCTGGTTGTACAGGCTGGACTGCTTTGCACCCACTTTGGGAAATGCTTGAGTCTCTGAAGGCCTCAGGCCCCAAGTACCAGTGCCAAAGCCGGGGCTAGTCTGGCTTCCTGCTGAAGGACTCCAGCCCTCATTCTGGTGCATGTTGTTAGCTTTTCCATCAATGTCACTGATGACCCATGCCCATCTGGGTGAGGCACAGGATGACATGCTCCTATATGAAGCTAAAGAGGGTTTCCATAGATAGAGATCAGCTGGTGCTTAGGTTTAGTTCCTGAACTGTTTGTTCATCCATCAGCTCTCTCCACATCAGAACACAGCTCCCCCCACCACCAAAGTCAAGTTGAGCCCATTCTCTAGCACCTTGTCTGTCTTCTGTCTCTATCACACTTTAACTTCTTGACTCTTTTGTGTGGTTTAACCAAAGCTTTCTAAGAAAAGCAGCAGCCTTTGAAACTGGTTTTCAAATGGCAGCCTTCTTACTATCACGTGGCAAATAAGAAGCAAGTTCCTTCTAGGTGTTTCTTGATTGGCATTTATAGCAATTTCCGAGAGTTTATTTCATTTCTACTTAAAACCAAAAGGTGTTTTTTGTTTGGTTTAATTTTTTTATGTGTGTCAGTGTTGCCTGCATATATGTAAGTATACCTATGTGCAATACCCATGGAGGCCAGAAGAGGACATCAGATTCCCCTGGAACTGGTATTACAGATGGTGTTAGCTGCCATGTGGGTACTGGGAACCAAACCTGGGTACTTTACAAGAGCAGCCAGTGCTCTTAACCACTGAGCCATCTCTCCAGCCAGTCCCTTGTTTAATTTTTGAGATATTCTCACTCTTGGCTTGGACTGGCTTCTAATTCCTGAGCTCAAGCTGCCCTGCCTCAGTCTCGTGAGTAGCTGGGACTATACACATGTACCACTTTGCCCAGTTGAACAATAACCTTTTATTTATTTATTTGGTTTCTAGATTTGTGTGCATAAAAAGTGAATTACAGGGCTGGAGAGATGCTCAGCGGTTAAGAGCACTGACTGCTCTTGCAGAGGACCTGGGTTTGATTCCCAGCACCCACAGGGTGGCTACAAACTGTCCTTAGCTCCAGTTCCAGGGAAATCCAAAGCCCTCTTCTGACCTCCAGGGCACTGCATGACACGAGTATACTCACATACATGCAGGCAATATACTCATACACATAAAAATAATAAATAAAATATTTTTTTTTAAAAAGTGAATCACTAGCTGTAAAGGAACCCAACACTTAGTAGCTTGACTGGGATCTGGGATCACTAGTCCAGGATCACCATTGTTTTGTATGTTAACCAAAAAATTAATAAACTCTTTTATTTTTTTAATGTGTCTTTATTTTTTTATGTGTATGCATGTATTGCCTGCATGTAGGTAAGTGCACCCATGTCGTGCAATGCCTGCAGAAGACAGAAGACGCCGTCGGATCCCCTGGAACTGGAGTTACGGACAGTTGTTAGCTGCCATGTGGGGGCTGGGATTCGAATCCGGGTCTTCTGCAAGAACAACCAGTGTTCTTAACTGGTGAGCCATCATCTCTCCAGCCCCCAATAAACTCTTTTAAAAGAACACTTACTAATTTCCCTTAGTGACTCTTTCCTTCCTGTTACAGATTCAGTATTTGTATTCTCCCTAAAACCATATGCTAAAGCTCTAACATGCAGTAGTGGTATTTGGAGATGGGGCCTTTGGAAGTGAGCTGTCTCCCAAGTCCCTGTCTCAAAATGCAGGGAAACGGGCTGGAGAGGTGGCTCAGCGGTTAAGAACACTGACTGCTGTTGCAGAGGACCCGGGTTCAATCCTTAACTCCAGTTCCAGGGGAATCTGATGCCTTCTTCTGACCTCCAAGTCATGCATTGCATGACATGGTGCACTCACATACATGCAAGCAATACACTCACACACAAAAATAAAAAATAAATAAAATATTTTTTAAAAAGCAGGGAAAGTTTTGAAAAGTATGCACATACTTAAAATCCTTGTAATTTCAAATACCTACTTTATTTCTTTTTCAGTCTCTGGGTGAATTACTTTTGGCTTTAGTTTTGTTTAAAGTCTGAACAAGCCTTTATGACAGTGCATCATCCTTTATCCCATCAAATCAGGTATTTAGGTTTGGCTTTTCTAATGATAATGTATCAAGATACTCTAAATGCTTTATTTTTTCATTCAATTTTATAAGTACAAGAATGAATTTATAACACTTGACATTTATATAATAGCAAGTATTATCCACCCAGTTCATAACACAGTAATGTTTCTTTTGAAGATTATACTATAGGCATTTAGTACATATATACTGGAACCAGTAACTTCAATAAAGTTCATCAAGTATCCTATAGACTTGGATTTTTGAAAAAGCATATAATCTCTAGTTCCAAAAGTCTTAACATTTAAATTTTTACATCTTCTTTCAAAAGCAAGCTTGTGGGGGAGGGGAACAAATGAACAAAGTACATTGACACATTTGTATGAAAATGCCACAGCAAAATCCATTGCTTTGTACATTAACCTAAAAAACTAATAAACTCTTGAAAAAACTGGTGTATGTATTTTCCTTAGTGACCCTTTCCTACTTGTTATAGACTTAATATTTATATCTTTCCCAAACCCGTATGCTGAAGCCCTAACTTGGAATAGTGATAGTATTTGGAGATGGAGCCTTATTTAAGGTTATATAAGGTCCCCAGAGTAGGGCTCTTAGGATGGGATTGGTGGCCACCAAATGAGGGCCAGCAAGAAGGTAGCTGTCCATAAGCCTACATGGTTTAATGTATTTTGCTGTTGATATAAAATCATTAGGTGACAGTCTTCACATCAGTACTCAGTCTTGTCTATCCATAACATGATTCATTTTGTGTGTGTGTGTGTGTGTGTGTGTGTGTGTGTGTGTGTGTGTGAATGGATATAAGCCTCTGATATGTCTGCCTTCCTGTAAAAATCGCTTAGTGTATATTATTAGCAGGACTGGCTGTCATCAGGTCCACAGTGTATCCTGTCACCTGCATTGTGTTTGTCGATTTTATTAATTATTTTTATTTTATGTGCATGAGTGTATTGTCTGTATGTGTGTAGGTGCACCTGTGTTGTGCAGTACCTGCGGAGTCAGAAGTGGGCATTGGATTCCTCAGGAACTGGAGTTACAGGCAGTTGTTAGCTGCTATGTGGGTGCTGGGAAATGATCCTGGGTGCTCTGCAAGAGCAGCCAGTGCTCTTACCCACTAAGCCACCTCTCCAAACCCAGTTTAATTTTATAGACAGACAAGAGTGAGTACTGATAATAAATTGAATTGCATGAAATTACTTTTTGTTTGAGACTGGGTCTCTTTGTAGTCCAGACTGGCCTTAGACTCACAGCAGTCTTCCTGCCTCAGCCTCCCATGTACTAGGATTAGACATGAGCCACCATACCTGGGTGAAATCACTATTTTTATGAGTAAAAATGGCCATGTTGTTTTCCCTTCTGTGGATAGTCAGGGAGGTCTAGTTGCTTGAGTTGCAAGCAGCTCTCCTGAGTTAGAGAGGACTTGAGTGCTAGGGGCTGTGCCTGGAGAGACAGTGCCTCCATGTGTACTCTGAACGAGCTCAGTTAACAATGCTGAGCTGAGGTCACCCCTGCTCTTTTAGACACCAAATAGAGGTGACTAACCACATGGAATACAAAATTGCCAAACATCTTTCCTCCTTCAAATGTTAAGCTTTCATGCATGGTTTGCAAGAGTTGACCTGAAGGCTCGTGTACACCTGAACTCCCAAAGGCCAGCACCATATAAAGAACCCTAAACTTAGAACTGATGCTGAGGACCTCTGGATGTTCTACATGAGTCTAAATCCCCTTTCTAGAGCTAATGCTAATTACAAATGTTTTTGCTATACAACAACAAAATTGTGCAATAAACGGGAAGGAGAATGGAACTTTGGAGTTTCTGCATCACCCATCTAGTCAGTTCCTGTTGGTAAAAAGTCTTTTATCACTTTAATACAAACTGCTGAAGGGATAGGGATGTAGCTTAGTAGTCAGATACATGCTCAATAGGCACAATGCCCTAGATTCAACTCCACAACGCACTTAGCTTGAAAATGACATACACTAGTGTGCTTTCATGCTTCAGTCTTCTTTGCCCCCCTGCTTCCTCTTTCTGGAAGGTTCACTTCCTGAACAAACAGAGAGAGGTTGTAAAATTCAACATAAGACATTTCTGGGGATCTTGCCCAAAGTAGTTCTGAGATGATAAATAAAGGAAGAATCTGCCCTGTGACCTGTGTCCACACAGCACTATCTCTGGGAGGCCAGACTCCTGAAACAGGTTTTCCTGGATGGCTGACAAAAGGGACACTCTTCATTCAGTGCTGACTGGTGTTTCTGTCACATCACTTGAAATACGTTCCTCTGCTTCAGTGCTTCTATAAAAGTCAGTATTTTAAAGCTTGATTTTAAACAATAATTCGTTATGTTAATGTGGCTTTTTGGTTGCTTTAATACATCTTAAATGTATATATAAACAAAATGAATGAGCAAGTCTCCACTGTTCAAACATTTGTGCAACTGTGATGTTTATTCCTATCTGTCTCTAGAGCCTAGAACAGAACATGTTAGTGCTCAGAAAACAGTGAATTAATATGTCCTAGGAGCAGTTGCATAATGAGTCTTACATAATTATGACAAAATTATTTGATCTTACAAAGGAAAGAGAAAATGAAGAATCTGTAGGAAATAATATCTTAATAGTACAAAAATGAAGTGACCCTTGATCACTGTTCTATTCGAAAACACCTTTGCTTTACCCACACTGGGCTGCTTACCACTCTCTAGATGACCTTGATGCCTTAGGGTCCTACATCTTGCCTTACAGTACTTTCTATCTAGTTTGAAATGCCTGGCCTGTAAGCTTGCAAAGCTAATATTCATTTTTCAGGGCTCCATGCAGCCTTCTAAGACCAACCCCTGCCAGGTACCATACCCTACCTGGGAGTCACTGACTCATGACTGCATTTGTTTCCCTGAGTTTCAGTGAACTGTGTAGCTGTGCCCCTGATCTTCATTCCCAAGAGCCAGCTTGTGGGTACAAAGTAACACTGGAATTGAATGAATGTAGCTTACCTCTGTCACTGGCGAGTCTCTGCTTTGATTCTTTAATTTTGGGGCCTTATCTTCTTTGGATCCCTCATCACTGTCTGAGGACGATGTGGCTTGTTCCTCTGAAAGCAAACAAATTTTAGGAATAGGGTTAATCTTTACCTGACTGCATCTGCCTTGAGTCATAACTACTGATTGTTTCCAAGTAACTGGCCTGCTCTTCCTACGATTTTCCAGCATACTAAAATTAGTACAACCAATAGAATGGCTTCTGGAGCTTTCTGTATAGACCTGGTGCCATCAGTGCCAGGAATGTGCTGCCATAGTGTTAGTTCCCCTGTGGTTAGGTGCTTCCTGCCTTGGGAAAAAAGCCACTTTTGACTGCCATGTAAGATTCTGCCTTCTCACTCAAACTGCAAGAATCCCCATTCTTGCTGCCAGCCTTGGCCTCATCTCGTAATAAACAGTGTCGAGGACCTCTTCTACCTGCCTCTTTGGCACATTCTACCAGCCTCTTTCAATGTGGATTTTCCCAAAACAGCTTTAAAAAATGAAGACTTTTTTTTTTTTTCTGGCCTGGAACTTGCTATGTAAACCAGGCTGGCCTCAGTATCACAGAGCTCCTCCTGCCTAGTACTGGGACTAAAGGTATGAGCTATCATACCTGGCAGATTATTCATTCCTAAATTTTACTTCTGCTGACTGTTGTTACTTCCCACTGTACATTTTCTTTGAGATGTCAGCAGGTGTTTGGTTTTGTTTTGTTTTTAATTTTAGTGGGAAGGTAAATATATATAATTACACGTGCTGGATGACAGATTGAGGTGGTTTCAGGTTCCCTGAGCACTGTCAAGTACCCAAGAAACCTTAAGAATATATTGGGGCTTTTTGTAGTTTTTTTTAGATTTTTGAGACACAGCTTTGCTATGTTGCCCAAGCTGGCCTCAAACTCAGAATCCTCTATGGTGCTGATGGCAGGCTTGTGCCACCATGCCCAGCTATTCATTGTACATTTAAGAACTATGAAGTTTGGGCTAGAGAGATGGCTCAGCATTTAAGAGCACTTACTATACTGTAAGCAGACTAGAACTCATAGCCACATCAGAGGGCTCACAAACACCTGTATCTCCAGATCCAAGGGATCTTACACCCCCTTCTAGTCTCTATTTGTACCCACAGACACAAATCTTTAAAAATTAGAAAAAAAATATGTTTAATGTGTGGGGCTAGAGAAATGGCTCAACAGTTAAGAGCACTTGCTGTTTTTGCAGAGGACCCAGGTTTGGTCCCTAACACCCACATAGTGGCTAACAAGTCCAGGGGATCTGATGCCCTCTGATGGCTTCCACAGGTACCAGGCACACGTGGTACAGGCAAAATACTCATATACATAAAATAAGTCTTAAAAGAGTTTTGGGGAGAGATAGCTCAGCTGTTAGGAGCTTGCAGAGGACCTGAGTTTGTTCTCAGCACTCACATGCCTGCTAGCAACTGGCTACTAACTGCAGGGGAATCTGGTGCCCTCTTCTGATACACTTCTGATACATGCAGGCAAAACACGCAAAAAATTTAAGAGTTATGAAGCTTAAATATTGAGCCCTTAACTGTGCTAACAGGTATGTGTATACATTTTCTCCCATGCATACATACCATTTGCAGAATAGGTTTTGTGTGTTTTGGTGATGCCTCATTTTCAGTTAACTTTTTCTATGGGAGGGTGGCCCTAACCAGACCAAAAAAGGTGTGGGGAATGGAGGCTTTGTTCTGCTATCTTAAGTAAATAATAGGAGCAAGAGCTCACTAGAGCAAACATGGGCCCTGTCCTCTCAGATACGATGTGATGCCACACTGGCTTACTGTCTTCCCCCCCATGATGGTTTTTAGTAGTAGCCAGGGCTGGAGGGCTTGCCTTCTTCCTCTCCTCTCCTTCCTCTTCCTTCTCTCTTTCCTCTTCTTCCTCTCCTTCCTTTTCTTCTTTCTCATCTTCCTTCTCTCCTTCCTTCTCTTCTTCCTCTTCCTCATCATCACTGTCAGGATCCTGGAGGGTGGAGTGTGAGCCCTGCTGGTTCTTCCTCCGCAAATGGTAAGTAGGCACTCTCGAGCATTCTTTTTTCTGTAAAAACACAAAAGGTTTCAACTTATAAAATGAGCTAGTATCAACAGGGTATGGTGGCATGCGCCTGTAATTCAGCTACTCTGTACTCTCAGGCGGGGGTG